GATAGGTAACTGGAAGCAGAAATTCTATTTGCGTATCAGACGCGATGGATCCCAGCAAAGAAAAGAAGACATATATGCTGCTGAACACACAATGGTGTCTCAATATTCATATATGAATTCTTTCAGTCTTGGATGAGAGTTGTGAAGGGATGAGCTGCGGTCAACAAGACTCTTGCGGGAAAGCGTAGACTACTTGTCTGTGAAGGTTGGTCTACTGGATATGAATCCGGCTATGCTATGCCTTATAAAGATTGTAATGTATTGGACTCAGCTCTCTGAAGACAAAAAAGGTGGAGCTTCTAGCGGCTGTTCGCATCACCGTCTCAGGCTTGTGAAGCCATCAAAGTGTTTTTAGATTCAGGAGCATCGTACAACTACTAGCAACGTGCGGCTATTGAAAGCAGTTGGCAGCACGCAAGAGAAACTAATTAGTACATAGTCACTCCACATACCCTAAATTTTGCTCCCAAATGGAGCGTATGTCTCCATCTTTGTGCGTTTGCTGACACGATGTCATCAAATTTATACTTTAGTTGAATTAGTAGTAAAATCATCATGAAATAGTGCGCACATCCCCTTCGGTAACAAAGTAAATTTTGCAATCGCAACATATAGCTCCGAAGAAACACATCAATTCCAATCAGCTTCAACATTGGACTTGGCGTCTGCGGTCTCGATCTCCGAACATAAATTGCTGCATTTACACATTGCAGCGAAACCATGAAGACAAGCGGATGGCGAGCGCGTCTTACTAAACCGCTTTTAACTCGGCAACCGATTTAGCATCGCGCGAACGCGCAAAAATTTGGGGGAAGAATAACTTGCTGTACTCACGGCTAGTCTTCTACAGAAATTTACCTACCGGGATATGAGGCAGCATATATACGTGCAACTACTGGAGTTGGAAACACAGAACAGTGCATTTATCAGATGAGCACCAGTTTCAGCCTGAAAGTATCAGGATTGGGGACAAATGTGTAAGCGCTAGATTGATTCGTTCAAGTAACTTGTAGGTAACTACATGATAAAGAACTCGTAAATTGAAGGCATTGTTTACTATTTGTAAAGAGCAGCTAATAGCTTTATCAAGAAGATTAGTTCTATTTAGCTACTCGACCATGCTATGGAGAAATCACAAATATACATATCAACTATGACTTCGTCTTAGTCAAACCAAGCAAAGATCATCCGTCATTTACAACGACTATTTGTACTTGCGGTGACACGATTGCGCAACTGCTCGACAATCATCAAACGTGGATAGTGGCACTTAGTGCAATATATAGTCCGGTCGACGAGATTCTGCTTACCCAGACTTAAACTTACGTATTCCATACACCCTCGTAAATTAAACATCGATACCGTTTTCGCTCGACATAGTCGTTGAAACACAGGTAGAAGATAGCAGTTCACGGCTTAAATACGTAAGCGCACATTGGCTGCCGAACATTTAACCACGTATCCGACCCTCTAAGTTGGGAAGAAAAATAGTTGCAATGGGGATAGCTGGAAGTTATGACGCAGATGCAGTACCGTCGTCAATGCGTCAATTCTAGCGAGCAACATCGTATCGGACGTCATGCTCGAGTCTAAAGACTATCGGTCCGTGATGCAAATGATCAGCAGGTGGATAGCATCTGAGAAAGAGACAAACTTTTGAGCATCAAGAGGGTGAAGTCTACAGGTTTGAACGAATTTTTTTATCTAAATACTCGATACCAAGCAGCAGACCAAGCTGATATCAATATCATCTGTTAAATAAGTTTACTTTATCCAAGTACCTCCTTCACTAAAAGCGAAACGTTTACGACTCTACAGATCATGATTTCAATGAAACGGTTTTCTTTTCCACTACCACGAAATAGAAATAGATATGTGTTCCACGAACGTGGAAATTATGACAATTTCTTCGATGGCATGTAGAATTTAAGCTTAAAATGAAAGCAAGCGAGCGCGATCGGGTCACTCTACAAGCACTATTCATGCCCACAGGTCACAACTCCTTTGGAGGACACCCTCCTTAGAGCAACAGCGGTTGATAAAACTCGTAGCACCACGAGAATTGTTATTGAGGACGAAATGCTGGCAAGTGTGCAATGTGGTACACCACAGGTTGAGTGTCCAGAAGCCTTAGGGCACGGAAGAAAGGTGCAAATGTGCAGACATGCAACTGAGTCCTTTGGTAAGGCATATTCTTTGTTCTTACTACCCTGGACTCTCATAGATTCGAGCAAAGCGATTGACCTTGCATCTGACTCGTATGTTGTACTTATAACTTCAACTATTGGTGAACCGCGAGTCACGATCTGTGAATCACGAAAAAGCAAGCAGTTGTACCTTGAGTTACGAAGACATACTTCATGCAAGCAGCCTCTAGTCATAAATGTGGTAGTATTTATGCCTCTTTAAATTACAATACTCGAATTTAATTTTGTTTCCATGCCCGTCAACGACTGCGCGGAGAAAGCACAGTCAGTGGCAGCGACCAAGCGTGGCATAGGACATTACTGGCCGATCTGAATTTAAAGAGCCAGAACTAAGTCATGAATAATTTTAGGCTTGAATGGTCCCTTCTCTGCTACCCGCGAACACAATTGACTTTTCTAATAAACAGATCGGAGAGGTGAGGAAGTTTATCATGTCGTCACAAACGTCACTATAATCGCGCAAGTAGTAGTTGGCCAGGCCAAACCAATTCCTCAAATTTCTTTGTGGCATAAAAGGCACTTGCCAGTCTACAATAGCTTCGAATTTTCCGATATACGTCTGCGGATCCTGCATCGCTTTGAAGCATCCTGAAAGAGTGATTTTGTCGAAGCCAACGCGACACATTGGTCCATACTGGTAGACATCTTCCTAAAGCACATCCATTCGAGTATCGCTCGCAAATGTCTTGTTTGGGTTTAATGTGACCCCCGCATCGATTCCCTGCCCTCTCCGTGGCTAAAGATAGAATAATTCCCCATAAACACGATTGAGCCTGAATAGCCGCATCACTGAAATATTTTTTATCGCTGGTGAGGTTGACAGTCTCTGCGACGTAGCCAGCTCCCCGCTCGGATAATTCATTGCAGTGAGAGGAGTATCGTTTTCTGTCATGCACGTTATGCAGGTTTAGAGCTCCAAAAAACGACCACCAAACTTGCTGCTTTGCATTACATCATTTATGAATGAGATGAGCTCAGAAATCATCGTATGTGCCGGACTGTTGATAACATTTAATACAGTAAAGGCATACACAACTTGACACTTCTCAGCGGATTTTCTGACGCAGTTAATCAGCGTCAACTGGGGAGATTTAATACGTGCTTTGCACGAATGAAGATGTCTACGATGCCACACTATATTATTCGTAATGGTCAAGAACGTGTGGCGCAATATTTGGCGTTTAAACCTTATGATGCACTTGTAGTTTTGGGGAAACCTTGCATGGTGAGTATCTTGTCACCATGTCGTGATATTTCCGGAGGATTCGAAGTTCTCTTAGATCAAGCCTCACCAATCCTCGCACTCAATGATCCACGATTCCTCAATGACGAGCTCATATATGACGTACGATAAGCTTATCTTTTCCTCTGAGACCAGCCTGCCATTCTGGTGGTCTTTCTGATTTTACAGTATTTGCATGTTTCCCTAAAGGATAATGTCTCTAGCTTAATGCGTAATTCTGCCGGGTTTAATGAGGTGAGGCTTGTCCTAGAGCTACTCCGGTCTTTATTCACGAGTAGTTCTTGCTTCCAACTCAGGAGCTATATTTCACACGAAGGGTACATCACACGGTAGTTCAAACTCAATAGTTCTCAGCAGTGCTGCTCAATCTTGACAATAATAAGACATGGCTAATAAACTAAGAATCTGGCCCTTCGACATGCGACTTACAGTCGCTCCTCCACTCCGTCGACTCTGACATGAAGGATTGAAAGCTCCAGTCGCATCTGTTGTTCACCGGCTTTTGCCCAGGTTGTACTCGCTATCAGTTATTCTTTACCGGCCAACCAAAAATGCACTTTGACAATAGAAACGTATGATCGCACAGTCGTAAAATCAAGCTATCAGCAGATGCAATCTCTGAAGTCCACGGTATAAGATCGCTTCTTTTGTCTTGTTCTGTAATTGCAACTCATTGTATTGTCGCTTTTCGCTCTCTGCCCCAGGCACATCGCGATTCAGCTGATAGACAAATCGAAGTCCCAAGTTTTCCGACAAAGCTATTGTGGCTTCATGCCGTGCAATTACGCTTCTACTTCCTGGTAGAGGTGGGCTCGCGATTCGCCAAAGCTTTATCAGGTGCCAAGCTTTTCGACATTCAGTGTATTCATGACTCATTGTTTCTAGCCCTGGCATATTAAAGTAAGATCATAATTTAAATCGCTATTCAAGACGAGACAACGTCCCACACTGCCAAAATCCACAACTTTCACAGAATTTTTCAACGGAATTCTCGACATCTCCCTGTCATAAGACGCCCATATACTGTATCCGTATTTGACCTCATCAATACCTGCCTTCAAGAGTCGCAGGTTGTACCTGATTGCATGATGCATCCGAAATAATCAGTCCTTTCCATTGGCTTCACAAAGCCGAGGCATTGATACTAACAGCCCAGAACAGCGAAAGGAAATTCTTAATTCTCATTAAGCGATTTGCTCTCGCAAGGGTCTAGAAAATTTGACCTCGGCCGCACGATGAATCATTGAATGCCATTCTGCTACCATTTGGCGGAGAACTACCTACCGGGTTAGAATTTCGGCTTTTGTAACCCAGTGTGATCTACTGACATGTTATAGATTTGTCAGCTTGACGCACGAAATAGTATGCATAGATGCGAATGTTGCGTTATACGTTGATAGCATTCTGACGTGTAGTTGTCGAAAGGTTACGATCGTTACATAACTGCATAACCAAGTATTCAGTATGAAGCATCACTGAAACTAAGATAAATGATACCATAAGACTGTATCTTTCATGATAATCCTTTTGCGTACTTGCAAAGACGCGTTATGCAATCATGGACCGTCGAGGAGCGGCGTGTATTCTTAGATGCAGCTGCCATTGGCAACTTGGATATTGTAGACGGATGGATTGCTAATGGAGGAGATGTTAATGTGACAGTGGGCGAGGGCTGGAGCGCGTTGTTTTACGCTGTCGCGCACAGTCGCATGAACGTTGTCCGGAAACTTCTCGAAAATGACAAACTTGATTTAAACGCTACGACAATGTACAGAATTGGCTTGTTTTGATCTTAACGCAAGCTTTATAATTCAATTATAACGTTATCTTTATGCGAATTTAGACCAGGATCATCGGCTTTAACTTTGGCACTTGCACGCAAGAATAACTCGTTGGTGGAGTTATTACTGCGCAGTGGAGCGTCTCGTGCAACGATACGTACGTTCATGTATAGAACGGGGTAAATACAACTATTGACCATCCATTGAGTGAAGCAATGAAGATTCTTAAGGAATGTGACACAGCAGCGTGGATGAATCCTGAGGTGAAGCAGATGCTTCGTCCAGACTGGGCTGTGGTGTGGACTCCAAGGTTACATCGGCACTTTTCACCCGTCGAGCGCGAGAAATGTCGTCTTGTAGTGTACGCAAACATGTTGGCATTACGGCAGCTAGGAACCCAAACCTTTGGAGATGCATCGTTACTGTCTCAATTCGGGTGGAAAGTTGAGGGAATTGAACGATTTTGGCGTTCCACTACTTCTTCGCCTGTACGCTGGCGATATTTTGCACAACCATTGATTTACCATATTATCGAGTATGCTGTTTTTCTTTGGTAAGATGGTGTTGTCATGTTAACGTTTGTTGCTTTATTGTACGATACGAATGTGAGGTGGGAAATCAGTTCACCCACCCGTCAGTCTTGTAGTGACTCGCTCGAGATAAATATTTCGTCTATATATTGTCAAAGCAATTCTTCTCAAAGCATCACATACAATCATACAATGAAGTTGTATTGACCAACGCTTGCGTGAATCAAAGTTTCTACACTACATACAGATGCTTCAAGCTCTTTTGACTCCACTGAAGGGCATTCGAATGACGAATTTTAAGAAAAGAATTCCAAATTTAAGGCTTGAATTTCTTTGTCAGAAATAGAAAATCTGTAATTTTCTTTTATCAGATCAAAAAATGTCCCCCGATCAGTTGCCGATTTCCATAATTGATTTGCTCCTGAACATTCTCTTGATCAAGTAATGCATAGACTCTTAGACATAGTTTACTGTACCCTGGATTCCTCCAAGTGCGTGTATATTTGTTTTCAGAGGTCATACGACTGTGTCTTTTTTCTTCGTATAAATTGCGCCGCGGGATAGGTGTGATCGGGTTTATTGCAAACGATGCATTTGCACAATAACCGTCTCCTACGTGCGCTGTGCCGGCTGTCTAAACGTTCGACAGGTACATAACTACATTGCATTGCTGTGCTGACCGGGACTCGAGGAAGGCATCAAGTGGTGAGAAATGGGCGTATGAGATCTCGGGGATCAACATTCTCGCTTGCTCGAAGATTTGAGTAGGCTCGTTCTTGTATAAATCTCTCACCAGTTGGCTCGTTCCCACTCCGCTCGGCATTATTCAATCTATAATTTGATCTCAGAAGTGCATGATATAAATTATCAATCGCTTTGTTTGCCGCACTCGTTAGATTGCTCTGGACCACATAGGAGACCGTCATGAAGTTTG